ATACGTTGGGCTATCTCATTTATGTAGGAGAGGTGACTTACAGTTCTCTTCTCAGCAAAAACAGAACAAAAAAATGACAGTCAAAAACTACAGGAAGAACCCATAAGCTAATAGTAATCTAAATATGAAGCAAAGAGACATTTGCATGGCCTAGAGGAATTTAAGTGTGGTGAAAAAAATTCATATATGGTGAAAGAAAAGAGGTTTCATTTATTCTTGTTTTTATAACATTTTCAATCTGAGTGGCACAGATTTAAAGGCATAGAATTTATTTTACCTCCAATCACACCAGTTTATTTTATGGTAAGCAACACTTTATAATCAAAATATTCTAAATGCTGCTTATTGATTTTCCTCTTTTATGGTTTCCACTTCTCTGCTGAAATTCTCAATCTTGTCTTTTAATTCCTGGAAAATATTACACACGGTTATTTTAAAATTTGTGTCTAGTAACCATTTCTGAATCCCTAGGGGTATGCATCTATTGAATAGTGTTCCTCTTTTCCTTTCTCCTCCTCCTCCCCTTCCTCCTCCTCCTCCTCCTCCTCCTCCTCCTCTTTCTCTTCCTTCTTTTCCTTCTTTTCTTCTAATTCTTCTGCCTCCTCTCCCTCCTCCTTCTTCTTCTTCCTCTTCTTCTGCTTTTCTTCTCCTTCTCCTTTTCTTTTCTTTTCTTTTTTCTCTTCTCTTCTCCTCTCCTCTCCTCTCCTCTCCTCTCCTTTCTCCTTCTCCTTCTCCTTTCCCTTCCCCTTCCCCTTCTTCTTTCTCTTCTTCTTCTTCTTCTTCTTCTTCTTCTTCTTCTTCTTCTTCCTTAATCATTTCTGGTTATTTTTTGTTGTGTGCTAGACATTGTTTATGAAACATTGTAGAATTAATTTGAGGCTTAGCATGTTATGTTTTTCTAAAGAGGATTTGTGTTCCCTTCTAAGGGATTGAGGTGTTTCTAGGGCTGGTTTCAGTTTTATCTTATTTCTGATTCACGGTTTTTCCTAAGGTATACCACTTCAGAGTCCCAAGTTAAAGTCTTAGCGGTTTACCAGGGCCCATCCAGTTTGCAAGTCTTGGTTCGAGTCATAAATCTTCATTTTACAAACTGGTGATTTAACATATACTGCCTAATATCAATGGGACTGAAACTAATGGTTTTACACATATTAAAGTTATAAAAATAGTAGATGAGCCTACCGAGTAACAACAACAATGTACCTGAAAAATTGGGGACCATTAGGGAAATAGGGAAAAGTATAAGACCTAAATCTTTGTCTTTCATAACAGTGGTCAAAAAATAATGCAGAACAGTGACAAATACCTTTACTTATAAATGTGGCAATAAACAACAGATCTAAACATAAAAGGTTAAACATGGTTATCTCTTGGGAGTGGGGATCAGAGAAACTAGTGGAGGACCTTGTCCTTTCTTTTAGATCCACTCTAAAATATTTAACTTAAAAAAATAATTCTGGGGAAATCAGTAAATGTTTTATAGAGAGGGAACACTGAAGTTTCATTTTAATAGATAATTTGTGTTTTTCCCCATACTCATAGAAAAACAGTGGTCATTCTAAACAGAGGGAGTGGCTTAGAAGGAGGCATGGACATGTACCATGTTCTATTTTAGAAATAGAGGAACATTCTATAGATCGGAGCATACAAATGAAGGAGGGGAATAGCAGGAAATGAGGCATATAAGTGAATTAGGGGCTAAAGAAGAAATGATCTTAGACGCTCTGAAAGTTTTCCCCCATTGGTTTTTATTTTAAAGTCTGGTAGGTCGTCATCAATTTCCTGAAACAGAGGATACTGGAGGCAAAACAATCATATGAGGTTAAAATGAAGTGATATATACTGCATACCCTGCAATACACTCTCACTTGCTGTCTCAAGTTTAGTAGTAGAGTTACTTTGACTTTTTAAAATCAATTTAATTCTGCTTTCTGTAGTGACCTTGATCGTTTTCTATTTCAGTCTCTATAGTCTTCATTAAGGTTGAACCAAGTTGGAGGAATAAGTTGGTCTGAAGCCTCACTGTGCAGAAAAGCACAGAGGCACGGAATGCACATATGAGGTAAGGTCAAGGGCACTGCATTCAGACCACCTGGGTTCAAATCTGGATTTTGTGCGTTGGGAAGTAAACTTGGGACAAGTAAATTAATCTTTTTATGCCTCAGTTTCCTCTTTTGAAAACTTGGGATTAATAATGTAAACGATCTCAGATTATTGTGAAATTTAAGTAGTTATCGACTGCTGCACATCACATCACCTTACCCCAAATCCAGCTGCATAAAACGACACTCAACACTTATCATCTCACATAGTTTCTGTGGGTCAGGAATTCAGGAGTGTTGTTAACTGTGGTCAACATGTCATCTGGGGAGTTAGTCATGTAGGGTTGAGAGGGCTGGAGGATCTGATTCCAAAATGATCATCCATCGCTGCTGGCCCCTGGAAAGATATCTAAGTTCCTCTCCATGTGAATCTCTTTCCAAGGCTGCTTGAGCATCCTAACAACATGGCGGTTGGCTTCCAAACGATCCAAAAAAGAAAACAAGGAGGAAGTTGCCCTTTTGACCGAATTGCTAAAGTCTCACACTGTCACTTCCCCAGTGTCTAATATGATCTATGCTCAAAGGAAGGAGAATCAGTCCCGCCTTTGGAAAAGAGGAGAAACAAAGAATTTGTGGACTTATTTTAAAACAACCACGTGCCTTAATGCATGATCTACATATGGCTGCGATATCAAATAAGACGAACTGAAAAGATGTTAGCCAGTTATCCATAGCGCTGTCATGGAGGAACTGCAAATTGTTTTATAGTGGCGGCTTTTGAGTGTCTTTGACGTGTGGCAGAGAGTGAGTCTGTGGGCGCCTGGGTAGCTCAGTCTGTTGAGCATCCAACATCGGCTCATGTCATGATCTCCAGGTTTGTGAGTTTGAGCCACGCATCGGGCTCTGTGATGACAGCTCAGAGCCTGGAGTCTACTTCCGGTTCTGTCAACCTCTCCCTCTCTGCCCCTCCCCTGCTCGTGCTCTGTCTCTGTCTCTCAAAAATAAATAAACCTCAAAAAAAATTTTTTTAAAAGAAAGAAAGTGAGTCTGTAAACTAACAAGAGATAGGTCAAAAGGGGTTGAGTATGTCATAATATACCTTTGCCTTTTTCCAATAAGTCCTGGTTTCCAAACTGGGCTACTCCCAGGGCACATACGATAGGCAAAAGGAACAAGTGCTACTTGAAGCAACAGGGTAAACACATATCTTATCTACTGAAGTGTTATTTTATTTGAAGAAGGAAAAAAAATGTAACACTAAAAAGAAATGAGCTATCAAACCATGAAAAGACGTAAAGGAAACTTAAATGAACATTACTAAGTGAAAGAAGCCAACCTCAAAAGGCTACATATTGTAGGATTCCAACTAGATGACACTCTGGAAAAGGAAAAACTATGGAGAAAGTAAAAAGACCCATGGTTGCCAGGAATGAGGAAGGAGGTAGGGATGAATAGCAGAGCACAGAGGATTTTTAGGGCAGTGAAACTCTTCTGTATCATACTATAATGGTGGATATAGGTCATTACATATTTGCCAAAGCCTATAGAATATACAACACCAAAAGTGAACCGTAAACTATGGACTTTGGGTGATGATGATATGTCAGTGCAGCTCCACGAATAACAACAAGCGTACCACTCTTGTGGGGCCATTGATAATGGAGAAGGCTATACAGGTGTGGAATAAATACATGGGAAATCTCTCTACCTTCTACTCAATTTTGCTGTGAATCTAAAACAGCTATAAAAATAAAATCTATTTGTAAAAAAAAAAAGGTAAATACATTATAAGATAGATGGCAAAGTTGCTTGGATTTTAAAAATGGAACCTTAGACAAGTGGAATGTTGGCCTTCTGTAGGCTGCTTTGGATTATATCCCTTGATCCTGAGTAAATAGTATACTTTTCTTTCCATTTGGGGTAACTTAATGGGGAAATTGAATGATTCTGTTAGCTGACAAAGAATTATTGAAGGCAGGGTAAGAACTTGATACTCTCAAAAGATACCTCCATCAAGAATACGGAAGAAATTGTTAATAAAGGAAAGGTGGTAAATGTTTGAATTAATCCAACAGATATTAAAGATGCCTCAAAGCCTTAATAATTAAGCATTTAAAAAACTAGAACAAGAATAAAGAAACAATCCATTTCTGAGAGTAGTTATTCCAGAAATAGATGCTGATATATACCTAAAAACCCAATACAGAACTAAGAAGGTGTTACCAATCAATGGCTGAAGGAGAGGATTTAGGGCATGTCAGGGGAAAATGGACTCTTTAGAAAAAATGTAACTCCTAGCCTCACCTTGCATTATATGCTCAAGTAAATTCCAGATAGGTGGGATAAAAATAAAAATGAAATCATAAGACACTTGAAGGGAAAGGGATTTCTAAATATGAAAGCCCTAGGACTCACCAGGGAAAAATAATGAATGGATGTATCTAAGCAAGTACTGAATCTTTGTGTAACACAATAAAAATTTTTAAAACAAACCTCAAATACTCCTGGATAGCATCCATCATGTACCAGCTATTTGCCAAACACCATGCTTGGAGCTTCGTCTTAATTACTTATCCTTAATCCTCACAAAAACCACCAAGGGCTCCGTATTACTACCTCCAAACCGAGACTATAAGAGATTATATCAGTAGTTTGCAATTCTGGATGCACTCTGAATTATATAGAGGGCTTTACAAAACCCCATGTGCAGGCTCCATCCAAGCACAATGTAATTAGAATCCCTGAGTGGCAACTGGACATTCAGTGCTTTGCCCAAAGTTACCCAGTAAACACAGAGCAGAGGTCTTACTGCCTCTTAAACGTCTGAATGTTTTCTACACTGCCTAGAAGGATTTCTTTAAAATATAAACAGCTGCTTAGTTCTCAAAGTTTGTAAAACCTAAATAAAGGTTTAATTTAAAGCAGAAAAAAATTTATATATGAAGATATATTTGTTGACCCATCTGCAACATAGACTTCATAACTGTGTTCTGGGGTATTGGTTAAAAAAAACCCATAGGGTTGGAATGGTCGATCCCCCGAGACCTCCTTCAAAGCTGTGTGCTAAAGGAAAGAAGAGAAAGTGTAGGATGATTAGGGGAAGGACAGCATTTTGATGGTCTAATAATTCTGAAACGATTGGCAATGCATACACAATGTGTAAGATGTCTGCATGCACCTACTTTCTTTGGCTTATTATTGCCATCGTAACTTCTCCATCAAGCGAGACATGACAATGTGCATGAACAATTTCATTGCATCATTTTTAAGAGAACGGGTTTTGAAAACAAATTACCTAATATAGTCCCCAAGTACACCCTTTATAGCTCTGTAATTTTAACTTAGTTACTTAACTTCCTTATGACTCAGTTTCCCCAACTATAAAATAATCATCATCATCATCATCATCATAGTGTCATCTTAAAGCTGCATAACAAACAACATGAAATATGATCTTTCTAAAGATCTTCTTAAGATCCTGTATGGTTTTTCTGCGTAGGAATGCAGGAGCAGCTTGGATTGACATTTCCAGCTCAGGGTTTCTCTAAGCTAGGGCTGCAGTCATCCGGAGGCTCGATTAGGACTAGAGGATCCACTTCCAAGGTGGTTTGCTCACATGCATGACAAAATGGTGCTTACCCTTGGCAGGAAGTTTTGGTTTCGGTCCCCAGAGTCCTCTCCACTGGACTGCTTGAGAATCCATATGGCACACCATCTCACTTCCTTCAAAGAAAGTCACCCAAGAGACCAAATGAAACTTGCAATGCATTTTATGACTTAGACTTGAGGTCATACACCATCACTACTGCTGTATTTCATTGGTCATAAAGATCAACCCTGATTCCATGTGGGAGGAGACTACACCCTGGTACCAGGGAGCAAGGATCACTTGGAACCATTTCGGAGGTAGCTACTAAAAGTAACTAGTTTATAGGCTCCTTGCAAAAAAATACACACACACACACACACACACACACACACACACACACACACATTTATTACAGAGCTTAGACCAGTAACTTAGAACTTAGGCCAAGGAATAATATATTGTATGTGTGTATATACATACGTTGCATTTAGAACAGAGCTTCGACCATAGTTAATATTATATAAGTGAATCAGAAGTTCTGAGGGGAGTCCGGGCAGTAGTATTAGTAGCTTAAAACTCACCTCGGGTGGTTCTAATATGCAGCTAGTTTTGAGTTTCATGATCGTATTCCAATAATTCGCTTCATTATGATAATCAAAACTGAAGCCCCAGCCGAGAGGCGTTCTACTACAGCTGCACAGCGGAATCATCTGGAGAGCTTTAACAAATCTAGATATCCAAACTGCATAGTGGTCCACTTATACCAGAATCTCTGGGGCATGGGACTCAGGCATCAGCATTTTTTTTAAGCTTCCTAGGCCATTCCAACGCACAGTCAAGTATGGAGACGATGGAGACCCATGACTCCAATTATTTAACTTAGATGATTATATTCCAGTCTCCCCGTTTACTCTCTGAGCTGAGCTCTAACTCGGCATTTAAATCCCGGAGACCTAATTTCACTTGTTGAAAACAAAGAGAAGACCTTTGACTCACCCTAACGTGCTGAAGATGGGTGGGAATGCACAGCATGGCGCCAGTTGTTCTCTGTCTGTAACTCTGTGTGTCTGGAGGATTTGAGCCTCCAGCATGTCAGCCAGGCTCCTTTGGCCAGAATTCGCCTTCACTCAAGTAGAAACCTCCCAGGCATGTGATTGCTGGGCCAGGAAAATGTCACCCATTGCCAGAGAAAAACCAGCCTTCCACAAAATTAGAGTGAATGGCACATGAAACCAATTAAGCCAAAGTGGTTGGAGACGCATCAGAAGCATTGTGACATGGCCATTCTGGAAACAATGCCTACAAGATGCACCTGGTAATGTTTATAAGCGCTGTTCAGGCACAGAACACGCCTCAAATTCAAGAACATGGAGCTGCCTATTTTCTGCTCTCCGAGTCTGCTTTTGTAAACGAGCGCTAGCATGGCGTAGAAAGCAATCAATTACCATTTGGGGAAGACAAGTGTTAGAGTGCAAATGGCAGCTCTCTTCGGGTCGGAAGAACACCAGGTGAATGGCAATTTCTAGTGAATGATGCCATCAAACTAGACACAGAACTTGCATTCTGGAAAAATCAACCCTTTGTGCAAATATTTGGGATTGAGGGAAGCTCTTAACAAACTTTGCCCATAGCTCTCTCCCCACATTTAAACCTATGTTTGTTTTAAGTAAAGCTTAATCCTTGTGTTTCTGATTCCTTTACACATAACTCATCAGAGTCTTTAGTTTGAAAAAAAAAAAAATCAAACAACTTCTTAATGTCCTACATGACTTTGCTTTTTGGCCTTTTAAAGCGTTTTCCCCTTCTTTGACAAGGGGCTCAAATAGCATGTTTGCAAATTTAGAGCCCACCCAACTGTTGTGAATGCAGAATTTTGCCACTGTTCGGGATTTGAATTTCTCCACATTTGCCAAAAATGTGACTCCCTGTTTGTTTTTCATATCCAAATCCCCTTTTAAAATTAAGTTTGAGACTCTCAATGAACTCTCAATACAGTGGATTTGCCCGGCTGTAGATTCTTTTTCTTTCCCTAGTGTGGAGCATATTGATGCATTCATATTACAATCTTTCTGACCCTTGAGAACAATTTTTATTTGTGTTGCCTAGTAATATAAGAAAAATATTTTAACTTTTGATAGAACTTCTTATCAAGGATCTTAAAGCTGGCTTTCAAACAGCTTGTAAACATGGGCACAGAGCTATGACAACATTAGTCTCCAAATACCCCCATGATGAATGCAGCTCTTGATTTGGAGTAATGAGAAAATGAGAAGTAAGAATGTAAAAGAAGGACTGTATGGATGGAAAGGAAGATAAATGGACCATTTGGATCCCAATAATTATTTTCTCATACATCACCTAAGAAAACTAGTTATTTCTGTTTTTAAATTCTTAAGGAACTACTGGGTATTTACCCAAAGAAAATGAAAACCCTAATTTGAAAATATATATGCATATTTATGTTTATTGTGGTATTATTTACAATAACCAAGATATGAAAGCAACCCAAATGTCCACTATATATAATGGATTATATATATATATATATATATATATATATATATATATAAAACGGACATTATATATATATATAATGGACATTATATATATATATATGTAATGGAATATTAGTCAATAAAGAATGAAAGCTTGCCATTTATGACAACATGAATGGACTTAGAAGGTATTATGCCTAATGAAATAAGTCAGAGAAAGACAAATACCATATGATTTCACTTACATGTGGAATCTAAGAAATAAAACAAATGAACAAGCAAACACAAAAACCAGACTCGTAAATACAGAGAACAAATTTGTGGTTGCCAGGGTGGAGAGGAGTGGAGGTGATGAGCGAAGTAGATAAAGGGGATTAAGAGATATAGACTTCTAGTTATAAAATAAGTAAGCCACTGAATGAAAAGGAATAGGAATACAGTCAGTAATGTTGTAATAATTCTTTATGATGGCAGCTAATGACTACATTTGTGGAGAGCATTGAGTAATGTATAGAGCTATAGGGTCAATATGTTGTACACCTGAAAACTCATATAACATTATATGTCAATTATATTTCAATAAGAAAGAAAGAAAGAAAGAAAGAAAGAAAGAAAGAAAGAAAGAAGGAAAGAAAGAAAGAAAGAAAGAAAGAAAGAAAGAAAGAAAGAAAGAAGGAAGGAAGGAAGGAAGGAAGGAAGGAAGGAAAGAAAGAAAGAAAGAAAGAAAGAAAGAAAGAAAGAAAAAAGGAAGGAAGGAAGGAAGGAAGGAAGGAAGGAAGGAAGGGAGGGAGGAAGGAAGGGACGGAGAGGAGGAGGGAAGAGGAGGGAAGGGAAGGGATGGGAGGGAGGTAAGGAGGGAGGGAGGGAGGGAGGGAGGGAGGGAGAAAGAGAGGGAGGAAAGAAAGAAGCAAGCCTAGGTAAGTGTCTCTGTTTCATAACCTGTTTCGTAGAATGAGAGGAAATGAGAACTGACCATGTTAATCAGATTAAGCCAAAGTTGAGTTCAAATAATGCAGATCACCTAATAAAAATGAAATAAATGTTAGCTACTCAGACATATTTATATCTGCATAATACTGTATGCTCTGTGATTTGGAATATCTTTCTTTTCCTTTATTAAAATTTTAAATTATAGATGCTTGGTTCAGGCAATCAGAAACAGGGAAGAAATAAAGCTCAAGAAAATTGTAATCAACTATTGCAAAGAAACTGAGATAGATATTGTTTTCATAGATGCTGTAAACTGATATCTAATTTAACCCCCAGGTGAGTTAGATGGTCAACTCCATCTTTTATGGTGACTGTTACTTGGTAACGTGGAACATTTGTACAGGAAATGAAAGTCATAGTTCTCGCCCTTGAGGAACTTACAATTAGAAGAGTTTATAAAATTTCACTATCAAATATCAAGCGCAAAAATAAAGGATTAAGCTACAGCAATGAAGATGTTCAAGCAACGCAGTCCTTGGGGAGGTGAGGAGGACAGAATATCAACAGAGACACTTGAGTGACCAGATCTAGGAGACGTACCACGCTTTGACTGCCAGGACACCAACAGGAAGTATGGTTTTCCACACAATAAAAATTCATTTTTGAAAAAAACAATCATCTAAGTCATTCTATTTTATACACGTGGTCTCAAGTTTGATATTTAAAGAGAGGACAAAATTGAATATTGCAGTGGAGAGGAACATACCTTAATAATTACTATTGGCAGTTTGCGTCTATTTTCTGTAACAAGGTCATATCCACTGTATCTGTTTAATATAACCAACTGGGCCAAAGCATGTGTTATTATAGTAATCAATTTTTAAGTGAATATCATGAAGACCATTCTTCAAACTGGTTATATATTTGATTTAATGTATAGGCACATTTTCTTATTTTATTTTATTATATTTTGAGTGTGCAGACATTTTATCTCAGGGCTGGACCCTTAAAATGCCAGTGGTTAATGTAAACTGCACTTGCCTCTTGAAGATTATACCACCTTTTTTTATTAATCAGGAAAAAAAATTAGACATTTTCGAGGGAAGCTTTGAATTTGTTTTCTTTGGGTGGCTAACCTTCATTCAGTAATTCAGTTTGTCTCTCAGTCTCTTTCTTTCTTCTTTCTTTCTCTTTCTTTCTTTCTTTCTTTCTTTCTTCTTTCTTTCCTGCTTTCTTACTTTCTTCTTTCTTTCCTTCCTTATTTCTTACTTTCTTTCTTTCATTTTCTTTCTGTCTTTCCTTCTTTCTTTCCTTTTTTCTTTCTTTCTTTCTTTCTTTCTTTCATTTTTTCTTTTCTTTCTTTCATTTTCTTTCTCTTTCCTTCTTTCTTACCTTCTTTCTTTCTTTCCTTCTTTCTTCCTTTCTTTTTCTTTCTTTCATTTTCTTTCTTTCTTTCATTTTCTTTTTTTCTTTTCTTTTTTTCATTTTCATTCTTTCTTTTTTCTTTCATTTTCTTTCTTTCCTTCTTTCTTACCTTCTTTCTTTCTTTTTTTCATTTTCTTTCTTTCTTTCTTTTCTTTCTTTCATTTTCTTTCTTTTCTTTCTTTCATTTTCTTTCTTTCATTTTCTTTCTTTCTTTCCTCTTTCTTCCTTTCTTTCCTTTTTCTTTCTTTCTTTCTGTCTTTTGCAAAGTACAGCTGTCATTACTTCCCAGAAAAGAAGTGAGGGAATGAGTCAAGGGTGAATGCTTGAAAAGGACATTTGGCGGCGCCTGGGTGGCGCAGTCGGTGGAGCGTCCGACTTCAGCCAGGTCACGATCTCGCGGTCCGTGAGTTCGAGCGCCGCGTCAGGCTCTGGGCTGATGGCTCAGAGCCTGGAGCCTGTTTCCGATCCTGTGTCTCCCTCTCTCTCTGCCCCTCCCCCGTTCATGCTCTGTCTCTCTCTGTCCCAAAAATAAATAAACGTTGAAAAAAAAAAAAAGAAAAAGAAAAGGACATTTGGACTCCATAGTTATAAAAACCATCATTCCTGGGTTTCTGAGAAAATAGCAGAGTAGTAAGCATGAGGCATCTGTCTCCCCACCTAGACAAAAATTGTACTGGTAGAGTCTGCTTGATGTAACTATTTTGCACCTCTGGAGTCTATTGAAGGGTTGCAACTTTCAGGGGGAAGACTTGGAGCTACATGTGGTTAATTATGATCAATTTCAGCTCTTAGCTCAGTAGCTGCTACCCCTCCCCCCACTTCTAGCTCCATATTAGGCAGTTGTGTGTGTAATCTCAGCAGCAGCTAACATACAGCTTGTAGGAGCCAGGGTGGGTATACTAATCAGGCTTATCCAGAAAAAAAGAACTAATCACCAAATTTTCAGACGACACAGAGAGACAAATGACAGCAGGAAGAGAAAAGTGATTTCCTCTCTACAAGCGATCCTCAATAAGACTGCCAGCAGATTTCTCAACAGAAACTTGGGAGGCCAGAAGGAAGTGAGCAGATATATTCAAAGTGCTAAAAGGAAAAACAGACAAAAACCTCTCAACCAAGAATCCTGTACTTGGCAAAAGTGTCCTTCAAAAATGAAGACAGGGGTGCCTACGTGGCTCAGTAGGTTGAGCATATGACTCTTGATTGTGGCTGAGGTCACGATGCCAGGGCC